GTAGGACGCCATCTACGGCAGTTTCAACCTGTCGCCTTGCAGGCGACCACAGCCACCCGTGACCTCGGCTTTGTCGCGCTGTTGATCTTGCTGACGTCATGGCCTGATGTTACATATCCCTTTGGGCTCATCGAAGGCCTGCCGGCAGTCGGTTATGCACCCTGCTACGGCGTCTTTCCATCTCAGCCTGCCGAACGTATTACTCTTACAGAGGTCCTGGCCGGATGCGAAGCACACAACCATCAGATCTTGTCTACCCTCAAGCCGGGTAAAGATGACCTGTTCCTGTTGGAGCAGTCTACAAAGGACGCGGCGCGAGGGTTCTGTACCCCTCCCTTGACGCTGGCACAGTTGCGTCAGCAGCTGCAGGGGCAGCCGTACCGCCTGATCCCACGCTGTGTGATCACACAGTCTTCAGGCAAGCAGCGGATCATCGACAACGCTGATGCAGGAGGACAAACCTTACGCTCGGCCGATGCCAACAAGTTGGTGCTTTGCTCACCCCTACGACCGGCTCAGCACATTAGCCAAGTCCTGCGCCAGATGAGCCCCTCCGAGCGAGCCCAGGCAGCCGCCACCGATACCTGGGAGACAGGTGGAGAAGACTGGCCGGATGCCTATCGCCACAGCCCCATGGGAGCCAACGAAACGCGGGGATGCGTTGTGACGTTTTGGCATCATGAATGGGCTGCTCCGGCTTTTCAAGTCTACGCCGGTCTACTATTTGGTCTTCCTCTGGCCGTTACATCCTTCAATCGGTACAGCCGTCTTGTAGAGGCCCTGGGACGCCGCCTGTGCTATGTCCTGGTTTCGCTTTACTTCGATGATGCATCTATTCAGGACTGGTCTTCGAGCCGGGGTTCGGCTCAATGGGCATTCGGAGCCTTGAATCAGCTTCTGGGCACCCCTTTTGCAGCAGAGAAACGCCAGGCTATGCGCCCCAAGGGGTTGTTTCTAGGCCTTGACCATGACCTTTCGTCCGCACTATCTGGTGGCTTTGTCTCCTTTTGGGCGAGGGAACGCCTGGAAACCAAGTTGAAGGCCATTATCCATGAATGCCGTGCAACTCAAACTCTCAAGCCCGGTGTTGCAGCTAAGCTGTACGGACTGGCTAACTTCTTCGAGCAGGGCGTCTACGGCAGGATAGGATGTGGAGGTCTCCATGCCATTAAGGAGCGTCAGCTTGTCCGAGGTGATCAACTGACTCCAGCTATCGAACAATGCTTTCAAATTCTCGAAGCAGTGCTCTCTATCCATCCAGAGCGTGAACTTGATGTCTGGCCGAGACACCATGAGCGCTTTGTGGCAGCGTCTGATGCTGCATTGGAGACCCCCGGTGAAGGGACAGGTGGTTTTCTCCTCGTCTTCTTCCACGAGGACACCGAGAGCCGGCTTGGATTTGTTTCCTATCTCCCACCGTCCATCTACGTTCTTTGGACCCCAGGAGAGGCTAAGATCGCACAACTAGAACTTTTGCAGGTCCTCATGGCATTGACTACCACACCTGAGCGATTTCGCAATCGCCGCGGCACATGGTACATAGACAACACCGCTGCCTTGATGGCGCTCATCAAGGGCAGGTCAGACAGCCCTGACCTCGAGCACATGAGTCATATGATTCACATTCTATTGTTTTCACTTAGATGTTGGATTTACTTTGAGTGGATCCCCTCCAAATCCAATTGGAGTGACGCCATTTCCCGTGAGGGACATGCGGATCGTTGGTACCACGACCAGGGTTTCACTAGTCGGGAAGCCACATTTTTCGAACCACTCTGGTATTTTCCCTTTTCCGTCACTCTGCGAGTCGGTCTCTTTCTTTGAAGTGCGTTGGGAGAAATGCATTGGGTAGATACATCGCTATGGATACGTCTGGGTGGACGAGTCTCCA